TKATRAWAAAAMRAMRSAWYATYWYWTMWYMTYYWWTRWTWTWRKATTGACAASTGTTTTAACTAYAATATCATTTGAGCGTATAGCTMAAGTTTTGAGCCRTGAGTTGAACTACGTTAGTGGTACGTTGAACGCCTTACGTGAAAGCCGTTGGCATTTGTGTATTTTTCCACCAGTAACTGTTTTCTTACATTCTGTACAGTCATGTATGACTAGTGCACGCTGCATTGGTCATAATAAGCACACATTCAAATGTATATTTTGTAAATCAGTATTAATCTAAACGCATTTTTCGCTGATTTATTTTATTTATCTTAAAAGAAAAAGGGTAGTCGGCCCCACCCTGCCACCGAATGAACAGGATTCGTTATTAATGCTTCACGCGGAATTTCCATACTCAGGTCCAATGACCACGAACAAAGCATTGAACCGAGGCGTCAAGGAACACTGGTCGCAGATCTTTTCTTTTATGCTTACTTTACCTTGACGCCTCGTTTCAATGCTTTGTTCATGGTCACTGGACCTGAGTATGAAAAGTCGCGGCGAATTCATTACTCCTGAATCCAATGTTCGTATTATTGTTGTCTAAAATGTTTGCATTCGTTTTTTTTTTCTCAATTCTAATTGCGCTGGCATTGACATATGTAAAATTCGCAGTTTGTGGTATTGACCAAACATAGAGAGAGTCTAGTTAGTATTGTGAAACTTAAATCAATAAAAAGTAATGAGCTTCAAATGGTGCGTTGAACTGGAATAATTCTAAACGACTTCATTTCCATATCATGAATATCCTTATAGCTGATTTAGGAGCTCGTGAAACTAAAAGACTTCTCAGTTAATTTGATCCCACTCTCTTGTCTTAAAACTATTCACTCTGTAGTCTATATACTACTCGGTACCACCCCTTTCCGGTAATTAGCCTTAGTTTTAACACCATAACTACCAACCCCACCCCACTCCTCCTAGATTTATACGCCAGTCGCTATTTATAACAATGTTCCACACCCCAACCCTTCAAACATAAGTAGGAAATTGATGAATTTGTTTATTGATGATAGACTTGTAAAGTGAATTATTTTTACAATTATTTATTGTTATCGAAAATATCTTTTAAATAGGTTTTGAATTTTAAAATTCATTATTTTATGATCTTTGGAACAGCTTTTACTATTTGATCTAGAGAATTCTAAATTAAACTTGGAGAGAATTCCCGATTGAGGCAATACTGAACATCTAATGAGAGAATGCTTGTTTTTTACTGTGGATGACTGAAGGTCTGAAGCGCAAACTTGAATGGACCCATGAGTTTTCATTTATTCGGATATAGAAATGCAAAATTATTTTCCATCGGTATTCAGATTAAAAACAAATTACTAGCTTGTACGTCGTAACGAGTTCAGACGCCGAATCCCACATCATGTACCATCTCATTTACATCGAATTCGATGTATGTTAGACTCGATGCACAAGACAGGTTCGCCTAGCCTAGAGCTATAACAAAGACTTTAGAAGTACCTGTCGAAAAACCTGCAGAAAGTCACGCGGGTCAGCGGTTAAAGACGGGATATTTTCAAGCAATTTTTAATAAGTACTTTACATATTTTATCAATTCATTTACAGTGTTTGACACTTATTTAAGTTATATATACAAAATATATCAGTAAGTTCTTCCAAATCTTTCCACATTACTAGTTTATATCATTTCTAAATTATCATGACATTTTTGTCATGTGATAGTTAGGTTAAGTTCACGCTCTTTTTTTTCTGTTGCTATGGCGTTAAATTTAGTTTTATAATTCATAAAAAAACGTTTCCGTGATAAATGTCGTCACAACAAGTGACGTTTATAACCATGTCTATAGGCAACTGACGTAATATCAAATGACGTCACAAAGTGACATCCCTGGCAAGGACGTCATAGTATTTTATTCGTCACGTGCTTCCGACGATGTCGACGTCACATCGTTTCCATGGAGAAATCCCTTGGTATGGACATGCGCATGTCTTCTAAGGTCGACCTTTCTGTAGAAAGCTCTTCCGCACACTTCGCAACCAAAGGGTTTAAACCCCATGTGTTTTCGACTGTGAGTGATGAGATTCGACGACTGACTGAAACACTTTCCACAATATGTACACTCGTGAGGCTTCTCCCCTGTGTGCACCAGGGTGTGTTTTTTCATGTCGGACTTCTGATGGAATCGTTTGCCGCAGTAGGCACATGAGAAAGGTCTGATATCAGCATGGATCAACATATGYGTTGAGAGAGTTGACGATCTCTTGAAGTGTTTACCGCATTTCTTGCATTCAAATGTCCTGACCGTTGCATGTGTCTTCTTGTGTTGAGTTAAACTTACGAAATGACTAAACGTCTTGCCGCATGTTGGACAAGAATAAGGTCTTGAGGTAGTGTGCGAACGTCTGACATGGAGTTCAAGACTRCGCGATGTRCAGAACACTTTCTGACAAGTCTTACAAKCAAATACCTCCTGTCCRCACAATTCACCGTGTGTGTGGGTGTCAAACTCTTCTTCTTCTAAATCATCAATGTCCACTTTAGARCGATCAAAAGTGATTGGCTGATTCGAATCACGTGGTATGTCCTTCGTCTTCCCAGAATGCGTTTGTCGGCTTATCCCCATTTTCTCGCGCAAAACGAAGCTATCGTGCTCAGGTTTCATAGCGCCATTGTTATGACACGCGGCTTGTTGTCCAATCAAATTAGGCGGAAGTGGTGACGTATAGCTGTTTGTCATGGCTGCTGTTTCGTGTAAGAGACTGGGCTGAGATAAATAGCCATTCGAGAGGTAGCTGTAGTTAAAGCAGTGTCTCATGTCAGCGGTCTCATGGGGCATCACGTGATGCGGTCCTCTGAGATTTGTATAAAATTGGGGGAACTTCCAAAGCAGCTTCGGGTGAACAGCGGACGGTTCTGGAAAAGCAGGCCCAGGCCAATGAAAGTTTTCATTTCTCGTGGGATGAATGGGAAGAAAAGGACTGGGTTTGAAGGGTGGAAGAAGTGGAGAAAAGGCACCATGAGTGTCATGATTGAACGGCTTCACCACTGAAAAAAAAAATGAATGGTTTGAATTCTTCTGAGATTGTTTTAAGTTTGACTTCAAAATACTTTTTCATAATCGTAGGAATATATTTAAGGTGAAGTACCCTTACTATATGTCTAAAACGTACACAATAAGCGGTAAATTCAGTGAAAACTAGTTTCCATTAGTGTTTGTTTGTTTGTTTTTTTTTCGTGTAACGACAAAATTTAACGAACTTTCATTAGTGAACTGAAGAGGTTTTTGAACGAAACTAGTTTTCACTGAATTTACCGTTTATTGTGTACGTTTTAGACTTATAGTAAGGGTACTTCACTTTAAATATATTCCTACGGTTTGAATTCTATATTTGATTAACATAATTTTGAACTATAAAAAATCATAAAAATTTTTTTTTTACCTAGAATATTGTTATTAGGATTTTGTCATGATGATGAAAATCAAATTTTGACAAATTTTCATGACTATAATTTCAATGGCGTCAATAAATTTTCAAATCACGTTTTTGACAGTGTGCAATCATTGAATTTCTATTTGACTTCATTAAAGTTTTTCGTAATTAACATCATTAATGCTAATTTTCATCGTGATAATAATATTCATTCGTCTCTCCCCTTTTCTTATTAACGCTCAACCATA